CAATTTAATTTTCATAGCTTATTTTGACTTAATGCAAACTACAACATTCTATCAAAATGCCGCTCACAAAGTCGACTAGAGACAAGATTTATAAAGGACTTTTTCTTGTGGTGGAAAGGTTCTGAAAATATTCACATTGTTTATACATGTAATTCAGTGTTTTAGAACTTTAGCGCTATATATTTTAACTCTAAGAAACTATTTATTTCCTAAACCTACACCTAAAAATTTACAATTTAAGTGCAATTAAGTGCAAAGTGATATTTGGTTTCTTAGAGAAAAAAAATACTGAGAATCTTTGTTCAATGAAACAATATAATGCGTTCTTTGTTCATTAATGCAGGAATTAACGGTTGCAAGTAGCCATTGCGGAAAAAATACATAACATGCAATACATTGATTATGTATTTTTACTGCAACAGCTGCAACGTTAATTCCCAGTTCCTTCGAAACTGATGAGACGCGCAGCCCTCCATAATACATGTTTAATTAGCAAAGTGATTTTAGTGATAAGACTTCGACCTCTGTATATGTGTATATGTTTAAATCTTATTTCAAACTTGTATAACAGTCTGCATAATCAAATTGATATACCGGGTACGTATTTTTAATGTGACATATACATTAACTATACTTTTTAATGTGACATATACATTAACTATACTTTTTAATGTGACATATACATTAACTATACTTTTTAATGTGACATATACATTAATTATACTTTTTAATGTGACATATACATTAACTATACTTTTTAATGTGACATATACATTAACTATACTTTTTAATGTGACATATACATTAACTTTACTTTTTCACAAGTGATTTTACAGGTGGATCAGGGCTCGACATTAACGCTTGTCCGCTTGCCCGGTACCAGTGAAAAAAAATTACGGACAAGTGAATATTGTTGGGCACTTGTCCGATTGGACAAGTGCATTTTTATGTAAAGGAGTCTCTAAATAATAATAAGAACGACTGTGAAAGATAATCGGTAGTTTCAAGACGGAAGCTGTACATAAAAACCGGACTTCGATCCCGATACGGATCGCTACTAATTGAGTTCACATTGACTCGGGATCGAAGTTCACTAATTGCATACTACTGAAAAGGCATGGAACTTACGAACTTAACGAAGTTTTGTTCACTTGTGGACATTTATGTTGTCAGGACAGAAAGCCTAGATAAAATTTCATTTTATGCGTTTGTTGTAAATATCAATGACATCATGAATCAATCAAGCACATGTCATGTGTAATGGACTTTATTTTAGTTTTCAAGTTGACAGTATTAGATCTTTATTGAAAAATTTTTGGACAAGTGAAGTTGAAGTTCGGACAAGTGAATGTCTTGGTCACTTGTCCGAATGGACAAGTAAGAAAAAAAGTTAATGTCGAGCCCTGTGGATCGAGTATTTTAATACATGTCATAAACAGAAGCAGGTGCACGTAAAGCCTAGACTAACTACATTATAATCAAACTTGCAAACACGCAAAGAATTAGCTGATTGTAAAAAGCTTAACAAACGCAAAAAGAAAGGCAACTCTGAAATGGAGTATGACACATTGGGAACTTTGGTTCTCTACCAACTTATAAAATTTTTCCCCAGACAAAGTTATCAATTTTTTTTCATGGTAAAGATGTAATCCCGTTCACAAGTATATTCACTGCTAAAATTACACATAAATATTTTTTTAAACTGTCGGTAATTGTACATACGTACAGACCACGAGACTTTTTGAAAAACGGTGCATAACGGTGCACAACGGTGCATATGATGTACCAAAGAAATATTAACAAATTTAAAAAATATATATAAATATACGAAGTGCATAAATATTTTTTTCATACCTCTTAATACTAATCAAATAACTGTGAAAAAGGCCATCTTATTGTGCGGGAATAAACTTTTTTTTTTCATTCTTCTAAATACCTATCAAATAACTATAAAAATAACTATATCTCAGATCCTGAAGTGACATCATCACCGAAAAGTTATCCAATCGGGTTCATAACTCTTAAAAATTATTTGAAGTCTTAGAAACGGTCTTTTAAAAAGTTGACATTTGTACCCCATAAAAATATAAAAATAAATACATTTTTAGAACAATCAAATTGTCTTTAGTCTAGCCTTAGATAATATGTTCAGACGGTGCGACCGTTAGTGAGGGCGGAGCATTTAAAAGCTGTCTTAATCTAAATAGGTGTTAATCATTTCTACAGCTGAAAATCTGCACTGACCTTTGGATTTGCATACGCCTCAAAAACAGCAGAATTCTTCTCTTTACTTTTATTTTGCTTTAAGTATCTACAAGAAATATTTATTTTTATGACATTAATTCTGATATTTACATGTATATGTATATTTACTATTGTGTAAATGACATATTTACAATCAACAAAATGTCGTTCATTACCATGTATTATATTCTGTAAGTTACCACATCTGTGATGGCATACATGCATGCATTTTTGCCTCCTTTTGTAAGCTTCCATGTGATAGGACTATTGTTTCAGAGTGCACAAATGATATATGATTTTTTCCCCAAGAAAAACCAGATGCATAAGATTTATATTTTTTAAAAGACATATACTGTTATTTTCATGTAAATTAACTTCACATTGGAATGGATAAAACATTTCCAAAAGTATTTTAAGTTACAAATTTTTGTTGAAAAGAATACAGTTCAACATGGTCAATAATGCATAAATTTTATCCAGCATTTTCTTATCATATGCTTTTAATTATGCAACTTTCAACATATGTTTATCACTGTTTGACAAGTTGATGCTACATGAATTGATATGCACATTAAAGTGTTATTAAATGGTCGTAATTATCATATGAGACAACATGAAAAAAGGTGAAAAACAGTGAATGTTTGTCTGCTACATGTAGGTTGATCACCTAATTCTAACAGAAGAAGCATGGTTCAATATGCATCAGCCAGCGCAGTACAACTATAAAAATAAAATATTTGAATTAACAAGAAAATTTTATATTGATGATTGCAGTTATGCAAGGATATACAGTGGCAGTTAGCGACTGACATGTCACCCACCGCTTTCAAGTTATATCCGCACATATCTCAACAAACTGGACTGATGCACATTGTACACTACCATGTAAATGATGTAATTGCAGACTACCAATGAAATTGCAAATTAGAAATTAACACAAGGATAGTAATTTACTAATAATAAAGTCATCCTTACACTCATTACTTCTGTGTAATGTAATTACAAATATCAAGAAATTCGTATCGGTTACCAAATGACACAAAACCAGCAGCCAATGACATGTGTACATTTTTTTTTAAATAGAATTTATAATATATATAGTTAAGTAGGAATTCATAATCTTTGAAAGTTAATTTCTCTTAAAGTCCCAAGATTCTTGTGTGTCGACATCTGAATCAGTTTCACTTGCTTCTTCTAATTGATTTGCTATTTTTATGTTGTTTGTAACTGACAAACACATGAAATAATACCATTTGTTTGAAAGTTCTTCATTTGGATGCACTCCATCATACAAATCCTTATATGATGTTTTGACAACTTTTTTTAACTTTGTTGTTTTTTCTACCACATTTTTTTGTGGAACAAATAAGCAAATCTCTGTCCCATCTTATAGGGGTGGTTAATTCACATAAGGAGGAATTAATTAATTTTAAATCTTCCTCTAATTTTTTTTGTTGCACTTTTCTGTCCTCTAGAGAATAAACAGACTGCTGTAATTTTCCTTTGGAAATATTGAAATTGTAAAATTTCTCAAGAGAAACAGATGGAATACATGTTAAATTGACTGACACATTTTCATATGATTGAAAATGTATTAGTAAATCTTTAAATTCAGAAATAATGGACTGCACATTTTCATGTGATTGAATATATTCAACTTCTATACCATGTGCATGGGTGACTTTATTTGTCAAATTGCAAATTCCAGCAGCAAATACAATCCAGATCTTATGCAGTTTATCAAATTGAATAATTTGTTTTATTTTTTGATCAACAAGAGTTCTGATGTGGCAAATCTGGTTGAACAATGACATGGTATGTATAAGAAAAGTCGAAAGGTTCTTTGAATTGCAGATAATTTTGCAGCTTAGCACCTCTTGAATCCAAAGCAAAAATTATGTGCCGCATGTTCTGCAAAGAAAATGAAAAATTATTACAGTAAAACACGCTTATAGATAAACGCTTATAATGAATTGACACTTACAGCAAAGTGATTTTCATTCCTCATGACTTTAAAATATATTTAAACTGAACGGATACAACCAGTTACAATTATAACAAAGCAAATTCATGCAAAGTCGTTTGTCCCTAGCACTTATAAGCATGTTTTACTGTATTTAAAAATCAGAGTAAACTAGTAACTATACACTACTGTAACAGTAGAAATGTATGATACTTTGTAGTATTTAATTGGAAATGGCATCCCAAGTAAATTTATTGTCTTGCTTTTACTAGTTATGTTACTACTTGCTTTTTCAGGTTAAAGACAGAATTCTTAATCTATTTACATGGAGAGGGAATTGTATTCATTAAGAGATTACATTTAAAATATTGAGTAGAATTACACATAAGGCACAGAAACTCAGGGTTAGCGACTGGCATGTCACCCACACCTTATTAATTAACTGTGCACGAGGTCTATGTTCTTCATACAGGAAATTAAGTTTTTGCAAAAGATGAGAGTAAGTATTTTTGTGGTGTCTTTAAACAATTGTAGCAGTTCAGTTTTCTATTTGTGTAGGCCTGAGTATTATCAGTGCTTATGGACATCCTTACACCAAATCCTGATTTTTAGGAAGAGTTCTTTCATGTTAAGAATGATATTTTCACACAGAAGAAGAATATTATGCAGCCAATTCAAAATTATATAAAAGATTTTGTATAGCATCAAGAATATCACAGAAATTAAGGGTCAGCGACTGACATGTCACCCACACCATGAGTTAATGTGCAAGAGATCTAAGGAATTAAGAGTTTTATTTTTCATAGAGGAAATGAATTTTTTGCAAGAGATGAGAGTAAGTAATTTTGGTGGTGTCTGTAAGCATTTGTATCCTATCAATTTCCTTTGTGCGGGCTTTAGTGGTATCAGTGCAAACTTTTAGGCAGAGTCGGTCTTCATTAACAAGTACATGTGGATGCCAAGCAAAGTCAGGATCTTCTTCATCACCACCAGCAGATTTTGCTCGGGATAGAGCTACAAATAATGCTCCAGGATTTCTGGACTCAAAGGTTTTATTTCCAGGATGGATGACAATATATCTGCTAGCCTCCCCATCACCTATTGTCATGCCTTGGCAGCGATGAATGGTGGTTCCCCATCCTAACCTTAGTGGTATTTGTTTTCTTTTACAGTTAAAGCAGTGGCAGTCTACTTTCCTTTCAACAGCAACAACTGGCACAAGTTTTGGATGACTTTCAATAAATGGAGGACCTGTGTACTTGGTAAATTCTACCATTACTACATCTGGAAGACCATCATTTGGGGTTTTTCCATTCAAGTATAGAATATCTATAACCTGTCCCATGGAACCATTGAATAGTTCAAATGAGACATTTAAGTTGACTGTCAGCATGACTCTGGAACCTCTGCACAGAAACAGTGTTTCTGAAAGACCATTTGTAGACTCACTTGAAACTGTCTTACAGTGTTGTCCTTGGTCTATTGATTTGATTCTGGCAATGGGAGAAATTTCATTGACCTTGAGCAGTTGCTGTTTATTGTGCTCCCATTCTTCAGCATGGGTTGGAAAAACAAATAAACCATTTTGTGTCATTCTGTCCAATAATGATTGCCCATGTGTTAATTTCAAGGAATCCCATTGAAAATTTTGAAGCCATTTAGCTTGTGAATGTGACAAACCATAATTTCGTAAAGCAAGTAATGCCTCTTTCAGTTTTATCTGGTTTTTATTTTGACGAATGATATTTGAAAGAGTGACAACAGTTTGAAATTCTTTCCAGACAAGTGCACCATGAAGTGAAGCAGGCTTAGTGCTTTTACAGTTGTATACAGGAGAATCACAAACTGGAGGGAGTTGAACATCATCTCCAAGAAAAACAACCACTGATAAACCATCCCATGATGAAGAAGACATAGAACCCATATTCATACTATAGCGACAGAAATATTCCATCCACCCGAGAGTACAACAACCTACAAGTGATCTTTCATCAACAAACAAAGCGACTAACTTTTCACAATCACTCTGTAACTTGGAGAGTGTAGTTCCCACTGGGGGTGTCATTTCCTTGGCAGATTTTGGCCCAATTGGAATCTTAAGAGAACTGTGTAAAGTGACACCAGAAATAAGATTTGCACTGTTACCCGTAGGACAGAGGACTTGCACAGCATTGTTTGTATGAAAGAGCTGTTTGATGGATTTTACAAGACACTTTATAAGAAAACTTTTCCCTGAACCTGCAGTACCAGCAACAATCATCCTCAGAGGCTGAAAATTTGAAGACTGATTTTTATATTGTAAGAGAGTATTCATTACTATATTATAAGCAAATGTTTGCTCATCATTCAAAGATTCATAAGACACATTTGGGAGATCTAATGTATTGCTAGAAACATTTTCTGCAGTTTGTACATTGAGGTTTTCAATGAATTTGATGCCTTTATCATCAGGGTTAGGAATGGTCTCCCTAGTCCAGTCATAATCTGGTCCTCCATCGTTATATATAAAGTCGGGATTTTCATAATCAAAATCAGGATTTGGTGCAAGGAGGTCCATCCATTCAGGTTGTTGGGAACTTGAATGTGAATTCTCAGTATCTTCCTCTGGAACTGAATTTGAAACCTCTGGCTCTTCATGTCGTCTTGCCCTTTCAACATCTGCCCTTACAAAATTTGGACAAAATTCAGAAGGTAGAAAATTTGTGAAAAGTTGTAACCATGTGCTGTTGTTATCCTTTAAATCATCAATTTTTCTCCAGTTTGGCATATGGAGCAGCATCATAGTGCGACAATAATCTTCATTTAGGGGCCATGAGGCTCTAATTTGACTGCCAGAAATAACTGGGACTTTTCCAGACTTACAAATGAACTGGTACCAGGAGCTTTTATCATTTTCATGTCTTTGAAGGTATTTATCAAGAGGTGTATGTCGTGTGACAGTAGAACCAGTTTTTTCAAGAACCCTAGAACCTGAGAGACTAACAGACTGAAATTGATGACTGCAGCGGAAAAGTGGAAGACAAGATAGTTCAAAGGAGGCTTCAACACTAGAAATATCCCGTTTAACAGTATTCATAAGCAGTTTTGTACAAATACTTTTGGCATTGGCACCAGAATTTTCATCCTGGTTGTTAGCCAGATTATAAAAAAGGTCAACAAGGGCTCCTGTAGGCTGGTTTCCTTTACATGCATAACCAGAGACATATCGTTCTGTAGCAATTATTTCATCAACAGAGTTATTCTCTGGATTGCTTTTAGAAAGAATGATTGAGACATCACCATTAGCTCTCCAACCCTGAGTATGATATTGGGAATGCTGGACAATCTGAGGATGATCTCGCTCCATCTCTAGTCTTAATGAGCCATTTTTATCTCGGACAACTGCAGCTTTACTACATAGAGTTTTACCAGGGTTGTCTTCTGTTCCAAACTCCATTCTACACACTCGCTTTGATGATCTCCCCCTATGCTTGGGAATTTGAAGACAGTAATCGGAACATCGATGAATATTAATTTTGTTTGTTAGAAGGAGATGGTCTTCCAGTAAAGATTCCTGAGATTCACTAACATCCATAAGTATCTTTAAAAGAGGATTTTTTTCTTCTGGTGGAGGAGGAGCTGTTCCTTCAGGTGGGGGCCAAAGGTCTTTCTTTGAGTTTCCTTGTTCATCTTTACCAACGGGATGGGAAGCTGTCATTCCAAGATTCGATCTGGCCCATTTTGAGAGATATTCTGCACAATCATCATCTGAAAGACCTCTTTCAATAAGTGTGGACAGTAAATTGTGTGGTTCCCTATCAGAACGCCAGCACAAACCATGCCAATGGACCATTCCACGTGACTTTGCAAATTCTTGTCTGTACCAGTATGTATTTACTTTAAATACAGGGTTCATGACTTCTCGAAAGTAATTTTGAGTTCTTATTTCAAAATAATGAGCAACAACATGGGGATTGGCTTGTAAAATTCAAAAAAGAGTGTTTCAATTTGATTTGTAGAAGCCTGTGTAAAGCTTTGAAATGGAATTCAGCACAGCTTCCAGTTGTGAAAAAAGAATGGCAATCCATGCCCCTCATTTATTTGATAGTGAATGAGTGCTCTCAATTCTTTAGCCCTTTGTGCCCAGTATTGTGATGTTCCGCGCAAGTTTGCACCAAAATATAGATTTTTTTCAGGAATGCTATTGTTGCCATTTTGCAGTTGTTCTTTTAATTCAGAAACTGTCATATGCTCATCCCCAAGTTGTTGCTTAATGATATAGGTACTTTGCTCTAGGGTTCTCTTTCTCATAATGATATTGTGGACAATGAATTTGAAGTATGGATGTCTGGCAAATCGACCGTCTTTGTACCACAATAAATGATCAGCCCATTCTGTCATAGAGGAACATGTTCGGGGTCTGTTTACATGGAAATTTCCAGTACCATAGGGAATGAGACAAGGAAAAGCAAGAGTGAAAAAGTACTTAGTTGTGAACTCAGAAATTGGAATGTTATCTCTTGTAGGCTGGGTTTTTTTGAGATTTTTTTTCATTAATGATGTCTTCAACCACATTCTGAACCTCTTGTTTATGTCAATACTTGGTTCTGGTATTAGAACCCCTGAATCGGACAGACCATCAGTTGGGCCAGGTTCAAACTGCTGTGGAGCTGGGCCTTGGTCATCATTTTTGCTCTCAAAAGTGTCGAGTTCAAGAGTTTGAAGTTCAAGTGGGCTGTCAAAAGGGAGTTGATTTAGCCTATCATTGCTTATGATGATATCAAAGTATGATGGGTTATTGTTCTTGAGCCAGATGAGAGCATTTTGAACAATAAACCTCCTTACATGATAATCCTTATAACTCTCATCTTTGCCCTTTCTTCGAACTTTAGGAATATTTATTTCTGAGGGAAGTTTGGGCAGGATTTGCGCAGGTTCATTTATTTGTTGTTGGAATGTTACACAGTGACCATTTGCAGCGATCCCCCCATGTTTAAGCATATGAATATTGATGGCAGGGGATATCCTACTAATTAGTTGCTGTTCAACTATTGTTAATTCTTGTAGCTCAGCAGGTACTGACTTGGGATCCATATTGTTTTCAGATGAGAACATTTTTACTACTGATTTATCTACAGAGCATCTGAAACATTTTTCTTGGGATGCCATTTTTCTTTCTAACCTTCGTTCATTACAAATACTACATAAATTGAACTTGTATGACATTTCCTTGAGATCAAATGCTCGAATTGCATCCACAGCATAATTGAAATGTTCATCGTCATGTAAGGGGGGTGGTTCAGGAATATCATTTAATTGGATACCTAAATTTTCTTGGACCCTTGAAATTGACGAAAGTATTTCTTTCTTCTTAAGATTTTTGAAGCATTTGACTCATCTGGAGGCCCAGGGTCATAGTGAATTCCAAGTTTTCTGCATTTTAAGTACAGATCTGCAGTATTGGGGTCATATGTTTTCGAATGTTTTACTTTGTTCTTATCTGTTGTTGACTTGGCATTTAGATTTTGATTTAAACTAAATGAATTTTCTAAAAGATCATGTGCCTTAGCTGTTGGATTGCACTGTACAGGGCAATGTGTACCCTGGTTAGCACATGTTTTCATTGTTTTGGTAGGAACTTCATTCAAGTTATCAGCAAGTGTAAATGTTTGTCTTTTGTTTTTATTTGTACATGCTTGATGTCTGTTCCTAGTATCATTTGATATGTGAATTTTCCCACCTGCATTGTTAAGCCTGCAAGATGTGTCATGTGAAGTGGGGGGAATGAGATTTCTGATTTTGTGCAGAACTTAGAAATGGCCATTTTTAAGCAGAAGAAAGATGGATTTTCCCCCTGCAATTTGTGCAACTGGTTCATAAGACTCCAATGTAAAAGTACTTTGATTATCAGTAGGAAAATGATGACAGGAGACATGTTGCAGGTACACATGGATTTTGACATTAAATAATAATGCTGCAACCTTCACCTCAGCAGCTGTAGCCCAGCCACTACCTAAAACCATTTTTTCAAAGTATTTATCTTTTGTGTGCAAGCATTTGTCATGCATCAGCTTAACTGTGTCTTTGTACATTTCCCAATTTTCATACAGATGACCACAGATGATATTTCTGTAAATTTGTGTATTGTTCATATGACCATGAAGTATCAAACTTAAACAATGAAAAAAGCAGTGACCATCACCTGGGACATCAAAGACCTTGAATTCAGTGTTTTCAATACAGGTTGACCCATTGCTTGGTAGGGTCTCTAATTCAAAGAAAGGACACTTATCTGCACTTGGAAAAGTGGTCTTCAGCTTTTGTGAAGATTGATTTGTTTGAGGACATACATTGCATCCTAATTCATTTTGAGGTTTTTCAGAAAGAAATTGAGCAGTTGGGCTTTGCATCTGTTCATTAAGTGAGTTTTGTTCAAGACAAGCTTGCGAACATGGTACTGTAACAAAAGAACATACAGTGGAATAATTGTGATCATATGGAATTTTTTCAGCTGTACAAGATTTGGATTGGTAAGGATGATCATGATCAATTTGTGCCACTTGTAATTGCAGCTGATTGTGAGAAAACGTGCTACCATTATTCATTTGCAACTCTTCAGAATTCATCGTAGTATTCGACATTTTTTGCTTGAAGTAGAAAATGTTTACAGAAAAAATAAATAAATTATCTAAAAAATCCTAAACTTACAAAATATTGGACGTAAATGCCAAGAATACACAAATTGACGGAAAAAAAACTACGTATATCATATCATTTGTACACCTGAGAAACTTACAAAACCCTGCACACTGTTTTGTTTATGTTTTCATTCTATTTTGGTAAATTTTGGTAAATGCAGACGACAGCGCCGCCCGTAGGGAAATTCTGACCAATCAAATCAAATGTCGTTACGACTTGTGAGCGAACCAAAAATAGAATTAAACTTCTAAATCGAAAGTAGCACGGATCTGATTGCAAATGGAGTTTATTTTAAGTAAAAAACAATTACTACACATTATCCTTGGATTGAATGTTTATCACTTTTATTAAAATCTCATCAACAACGAGAATTTGCGCGTGAATCAACATGGAAAAGACTACGGACGCCATATTGGCGACAAGGATCTCAGTTCCATAGATATTGTAATTGACATATAGTTTACAATAGAATTCTTTTATTTTTATATACATACGTGTTACCTATAGGGAGAGCTTCGCTCTCACGGGCCCTTCGGGCCCGTGAGAGGGCTCCGCCCTCTACTAATATTTATTAGCATGATATGAAAGTAAAAGTGATTTTTGATTTCTAACAATGATAGCACAAAGATTTTACACTATGTATTATATAACAATTGATGTAAATAGAAGAACTTAAGTACCGCATAAGTATGTAAAATACATGCACTTTTCTCCAAATGCTTGGATACCTATGATTTTTTATCCTATAATATATTTTTAATCAATTTTCAATTTAGATAATGCATAGCGGGTTGCTTTTATTCGCATTTCCAGAAAATATGTAATTTGAGATTTCTAAAGAGATACCATGGGTAAATACACATTACATTGAGAATTCAGAGATTTCAGAGACATTTTATTTTCAATTACCCAACTCCTTATTTTCAGATCCTGGAGGATAGGACTACCTTACTTTGAATAACCTTTCATGGACACTAAAATTTAGTAATTAGAAATGTTGAAAATTTACCAGCTTTTAGGGACTTTGCCCCCCCCCCCCCCCCCCCCCCCACTTAAGCTTCACCCTAGACCTACTTGGAACCTCAAGGCAGCCCAACAAAACCTCTGCTTTTATTTGTTTCAACGTCAAGCACTGCCTGGCTACGACCTTTGTATTATATAATACATATAGATGCAGTCTCAGGGTGCTTATACCTTCAGAGACTAGATTTGTATAAATTTACGGTATGTTACTCGTCAGCTTTTGAGAAAATTTGGTCAGAACATCTAACATCAAAATTATTAAATACAATTCAATTTTTATGAAATATTTGAATTAAACAATGCAAATTATACAATATTCAATGTAAAAACTGCCCACAAAATATAAAGAAACAAGATTTATAGGGGACTATTTCTTTTGGTGGAAGGATATTTAGAAGAAAATTCTTCAAATCTATACATTTCTTTGTTTTAATATCTTGGAATCTTAGCCCTACATATTTTTACTTGTCGATTTTTTTTTTCGTTATTACGTTCTTGGAATATTAGATATAGGTTTCAATAAATATTCTTAAAACAAATTTTACACATTCATTCAACAGCCTTTGCCAAAAAATGAAGATATATTTAAGGAATCAAGATAAAATTTACATTGTTTTTTCGCCTGAAAATTGCATGTTTTGACCAATATCGCAAAATTTACATCACTGACCCATGCAAACTTTTTCTTTCATTAATTTATATTGCACCATACATTCAACCAATCAGCAATTAAGTCATAAAAATCTTGATACAAGAAAAATTTTTACTGTCTATCTAGATTTTTTTTTACCTCAAATATGATATTTTTTAGTGCAAAAACGTCACATAATTCACATTTATTTGCAGGATTTTTTCAATAATAAATAGTCAAACTATTTTACAAAGAAAAAGATTATATTTATTGCTGATTACGTTGATTGGTAAAATATGATTAATGTTAATTACCCAATCAGAATTTTATATAAACAACCTTAGTTTGTTTCGTGGTATCAGTTAATTGTATGAAATGATTTTTGTTTTAAATAAATGGTTGATTTTTTTATTGGAAAGGTATAATACATCAGTTAAAAAACATCGACTTAGATTATATTTAAAAAATGAAATACTCAATTATATTTACATTCTGTAATTTTCTCTCTTCATAATTGTTTATTTCGTTAATCTTTATTATGAATTAAGCGCATTTCAGAACTGGTGTGCTTAATCGACGTAAGAGCCGTTTGTGACGTTGGAAAGTTAAATAACGCAAATGAACATTGCGAGGAAAAAAGATTTAATTTTAAAAGCACAGTTGTTGTATTTTACGTTAATTAAACAGAGTAATTTGTTTTTTTTTAATTAAATTGAGTCAAAATAATATACATTTTGGTGTTCCTAGATATTGAAAATGCATATAGTTCCTTCTGTGTATTCTACCACGCAGCGACAAGGTTTTTCGTGTGTTATAGAGATTTCTAATGGATTTCATAAAGAAAATTACACTGATTGTAAATATATATCATTTACTGTTTGACAACGAAATGACTTCAGCTTTTCGATTTTCAATTTCCCTTATTTATGTAGCAATATTTCAACATCGCCTGCATATGATGTTTATATGTATCCAAACTGATTCGATACTCAAGAACATGCTCTGAATGCGATCATTTTTTTTAATCGAGGCAAGCTACAAACAAATAAGTTGATGTTATAAGGATTTCAATAACTCCTTTTAAGTCAGCTTTGAGCAAAGAGCTTGGTTCACTTTATGCATAAAATGGCCCTGTCCTTATATCAATTAATTGACTATCACCCTCTGTCCCATTTCATATATCAAAATAAAGTAGAGACTTAGTGCTTTCATTTCCTATAACAAAATTTCTTTTTGGGAATCCAGGTATTTGAAAACAATCTTTGAGAAAATGGAATGTTCTTGAATTTGCAGAAAACATGCGTATTTGACTACATTTAGCAAAGAATTAAAGTATGAGCACAGCCCACGATCCAAAAATTAAAACATGTTTTGTGATCATCAGAAATAGATCTTTCGTTATGTAAGGGTATATTTTGGATCAGAGCTTGTGCTCTATATGAAATATTGAAAAAATACCTCAATTTTTGGCCATTTTTAAGGGAATTCACAGGATATGGGAAAAATGACGCATTCTATGACGTCATAATGCATTGACTAGAGAGAAAATTACGTCATGTTCAATAGATACACTTTCACCAAGGGTCCAAGTTATGAATACTGCATTTTCAACCAAAACAGAGCAGTTTCGATTTTTCTGAAATTCTCAGGGCCAAAAAAGACCCAAAGTGGCTCTTGCTCTTTCACGGTCGTTATTATACAACTTAAGACTGGGTGTATTTTGCCTGACATGTTTCATACC